ATAAGAAATCATTTTTAACAAGTAATGTTTAGAAAGTAATGAAACTTTAAAATCAAGAATAATTACTGGTTTAAGCTCAACTACAGTCACAGAACGAAAATATCGTAAAAAAAAATCTGCAAGCATAACTGTAATGCTATTCACACGAATCTCCAAATCAGGCATGAGCTAATATCCGAAAAGATAGATAATTTAAGCGAACATATGCGAAATATTGACATATTTGAATTTAAAACCCGATGTAATTAAGCTAACGGCTGTATTTGCGAGTTTGCTATTGGAGCCAATAACGTATATTGAACTTGCAGTTCCTTTTGGTACTACTGAATACACCAACTTTATTAACAAAACACACACACATGTATATATATATATATATATATATATATATATATATATATATATATATATATATATATATATGTACACACACACACACACACACACACACACACACACACACACACACACACACACACACACACATACTACATATATATATATATATATATATATATATATATATATATATATATACATATATATATATATATATATATATATATATATATATACATATATATATATATATATATATATATATATATATATATATATATATATAAATGTGTGTGTGTGTGCTGAGTATTATAAGCTCCAATCTTATGACATATTTAAAAGATATATCAAGTGTTATTAACCTGAATGTGTTTGTGTAAAAAAAATACTTTTCTATTTTTTTTTTCGTAACTCATTTTATAAGGATTAATATGTGTATAATTATCATTATAATTGACGATCTCGTTATCGTGGTTGTTATTGTTATGATTGTCTTTAGTTATTGCTGTTGTTGTTAATATCATTATAATAATGTTATAATTATTGTTATTATTGATATTTTTTATTATTCATGTCATCATTATCGTTATCATGATCGTTACTATTATTATTATCATTTTTATTGCGATCATTAGTATAATAATTTTCATAATTATCATTACTACTGCATTTATTATCATTATTATTATTATTATTATTATTATTATTATTATTATTATTATTATTATCCACAAGATTATTATTATCTTTATCATCATTGCTTCATTCCGTGGATTTATCATTTTCCTCTTCCATTTTTCTCATTTTCATCATCATCATCTATACACGAAGCATAACATGGAGATCGGATGAAAAATGGGTTATGTTGATAATTTCAGTAACAATACTGAACGCATTTAAAA